CCAACATCGAAGATCTCTAACACACAACCCCGATAGATATCAGTAGCGGACACCAGACGCTCATCAGGTATAGAGACTCTCAAGGCCCGACTCAAAGTCGCTCGTGTAATGCTAAAATGGTAACAAAAAGATGATAACACAAAAGGTCGACTTGCACCCGACTCAAACAACACAAGAGCAAGTACAAAATTCCCAAGAAAAGTACCTAAACAATCAATAATATAAGCAACATAAAAAAATAATCAGAATAATAGAGAACACATACTAGCCAGGATGTTTGGAGCTGCTTGGGCCTCTTCTACTGTCAACTGAAATGCTCTCCCTCAAGCCCTCGATGCCTCGGCTTTCCCTTCCGGCCATTAGTAATACACAGAGTCGCGGGGGACGGAGTCAGAACCGCCCTAGATGCAAGCTGAGGAAACTCGACCCTCATATGACATGTATGGTTGTAATTGAAAGAAAATTGAAATACATTGGGGAAATCCCTAACCAAAGCGCCTCATTTCCACATAGGTAGCAAGCCATCCCTAACCAACATGGTACCTCATGTGCCTTTCGTACTTTCGTAAGTGTGTCCCTTCTGGCCTCTAACTCTCTGGTCAGTGGACTTAGGTCGCTTAGTCGACGGTTGCGACTGTACTGGCCTCCTATCTCTCTTATAGGCCTGCCTTTCCTCCCTAGTCTGGGTCCCCAACTCAATCTCCCTCCTCCTGACATTGGTCTGCAGCTCAACCAATGTCCGATATGTAGTGTTTGTTACAAAATCATGAATATCCCTCCTCATGATACTCGGATACCGACTCAGACATGCCTACTCAGAAGACACGTGCTCAGGGAAAAACAAGGACCTCTCATGAAACATCCGGGTGATCTCAATCACCATCTTTGTCTTCTGCTTGAGAGATAATAAATCTTGGCCCAACCTCTCTCTCTCTCTATGTATTTATATATATATATATATATATATATATATATATATATATATATATATATATATATATATATATATATATATATCAACCACTGGAACAAACTCATCTCTGAACAGCTTGGTAAACCACTCCCAGGTCACCGTAGAACTCTCAGCAATAGTATAATCAGCTGCCACAAACTTCCACCAATCCCTCGCTCCCAAACGAAGCAGGTTCAGCGCGAAATGAACCCTCAGATTCTCCAGACATGAGAAAGTGTAAAAACATCCCTCAACATCATAGATCCATCTCATAGCAGCAATCGGATCCTAGGTCCCATCAAAATCGGGGTGCCTTCGTGGTTTTGAACTCTTGGTACCATAACGAATCACCCCCTGCATTCTCGCAGCAGCAAGAGCTGTTGTGGCTATGGCAGCAATAGCCTCAATGATGGCAGCATAACGCTCATTAAAATTCTCAATCAGTGTGTTCTTGGTAGACCGAAACATCTCTGGAATATCATCTCTGATTGATGCGGCCACCTTAACTGCAACAATCATGTGGATCACATCATCACTAGCACCCGACCTCCCGGGGTCGCTGGAGCCTGAACCTCGAGAAACCACCATACTAAGGTCTCATTTGATAGTTTTTGTCAGGGAAAGTGCTGTCTGGTAAAGTGTTGTCTGGGAAAGTTTTCTAATAGGGAAAGAAATCATGCTGTTTGATTGTACATCTGATTGAATGTGCTGAATGATGAAAAAAGTAATAATTCAATAAAAAATAAATTAAAAAAAGGTATTTAAAAAAATTAATAATCCAATAAAGAAATAAAGAGGCGGGGTTTGGTGTATAATTGTCTTTCCAGCCCATTCAGCCAGAAAGATATGATTTTGGGCTTTCTGGGAAAGACATATCTTACCGGGAAAGACCCCTTCTTTTGTGCAAATCAAACAGTCTTTCCGGTTTAGTCAGCCAAAAAGATCTGTTTGGACCTGGAAAGATGCGTATCAAACGGGGCCTAAAACACATAAGAAAACCATCAGATATCTGGTTAAAGCACATATATCATCACCCACACACTCCAACAAGTTCCTAAGTTCCTTAAGATTCCTTCTTGAGTCGCGTACGCATCCGGTGCTACGGGCCCAATACTACCTTCCACAGTAACCCGTATTTATCTCAAGTCATCATCTCAAGACCCTAAGTCAAAAGGACTCTATTTGCTTAGATCAGTTATAGACTCACTCTATTGGTTCCTTAGAACCACGACTAAGCAACTAAACACTAACTCTAGACTGCTCCCCCAACATTGCTTCACTTCACAAGATCTCCGTTGTCCTCGCCATATGCTTCGCACATGCCAATTGTACACAATATGAGACTCAAAAGACATTTGAATAAATTATTCTACTTCAAATCCAAAACTAAACAAGGAACAAGAAGAAAGGCTAAATCAGGCACTTTAAGGCTATAAAATCCTAACTATGTACAATTATATAGCACACACAAAGCAAATAGCAATGACTGATTCAGTCTCATAAGAATGAACTCCTAGGCTAAAGGCATCACAAATCAGGTAACACTATCACACCATTCCTGCAGGATCCTTAAACTACCGCTAGATAGCACACAATTCTATCATCTCATAAAATATCAACTCTACACTACTCACATTATAAGTTAAGGTATTTTGGGAAACTACAACTCGAGCTCTAGTTGATTGTACACACTGCTTCACTTGGTTTTTCTCCTGTAAAAATCTTCATTTCTTTGTTAAGTTTTTATAAAATTCTTCAGATCCATATTTTGAGTTTGGAATTACCCTGAAGTTCATCCAAATCCCTCAAACCAGGGCTCTAATACCAAATTGTAACACCTCAAATTTTAAACCAAATTATTCATTTTTAATTTACAAAAATAAAGTTTCACAGCCCCAGTCATCAAAACATAAGTGTCTAAAATAAACATCATCATAAAATATCAGGCTATCTTAAACTATCCTAATAATAAATCTCCCAGCGAGTGTGTACAACTAGACCTTTGCCTTCCCGCAATCCTCAGAAGTACTTGAACCACATAAATCAACAACTATAAGCATGAAGCTTAGTGAGTTCCCAAGATACCACAGATAACACATCATAAAATAAACAACTGGAGGTTATCAGAAACCCTTGGGACTATCAGCAGTCCCGGTGGGAAACAACATGCCCTATGGGTTATTAGCAACCCTAGAAACTACCAACATTCTCAATCACACATAAGCAACATAATATAACATAATATTAGACGAAGCTAGTCATCAAAAATATAGTTATTCTGCCACACATGTAAGAATAAATGAGGAGACTTACCTGATATTGATGACAAGTAAATCTCAAACTCGAACTACGGAAATTAGACTCTACCTAATCAACGAAATAATTAACCTTAACTCATAATTAAGGTCCATAACTCAACTCGCGATTCCAATCCTAGAACTAAGTTCCTTCAGGGAAAAGAAGACCATTTTGCCCTTCTCATGGACCAAAATCCTAAATCTTGACCAAAGGATAAAAGTCAACGAAAGTCAACTGCCTTCTCGCAGGGTGTAGCCAGGAGGACGCCAATGCGTACGTTGAGCGTACTCTCTCTTACACAGTGCGTACCACTCAATCAGCGACAATCGGGGAATGCAATGGCCATGCAGGGTGTATCCAGGACTACACCAATCGTACTCTACATGATCCAACTTCACCAACTTTTATGTCTTAATCTGTTAAGACACCTATTCCAACTTCAGATCTGACCATCCTAGGGTGTCCTAATCCATGAAGTCATCGACTTTAAGCCTTTTCATGGCTAGAAAGGACCCATGGCAACAAACTTTAACTTCCATCACACTCTAAGTCACTTTACTCATGCATGGGCCATAGGAAATGATCAAGCAACCATTTTTATGAATCTACAACTCCTAAAATGCATGAAATGACAACCAATATTCTATGTAGTGCTCCAAACTCATAAAGGTCCAAACTTTAGGACAAGATGCTCATAAAAATCGTCCATGGAGATCAAAAGGGAAACTTATTAAGGTATAAAATTTAAACCTGAAAAAGATGTACAATGAGGAATGGTTTTTGGATCTACAAGCTTGCAAGCAACAACTCCTTCTTCTAGCCTCCTTTTTCAACATATGCACCAAAACCACTTAATAAGCTCCCAACTCTCATAAAAAAATCTTAGACTAGAGATTAAGGTTTTAGAGGGAATGGTGGCTGATAAGGAAAATCCAAGGGACGCATAAGGTGGTTTAAATAGGGAGCAACCCTTAAAAAATAGGGTTTAAGGACTGGGCTAGTACGCCCGACATACCACACGTACGCCCAACATACTAGCAGGACACCTGTGATCCCGCATCACACGAGTACGTTGCATATACCCTCAAGTACGCCCAACGTACAGCTAAAACGTGAAAAATTTACCACAAGGGACCAATTATGCAATTTTGATAAAATTAAGAGCTGAAATTACAATACATGATAATCGAAAGTACCAATAAGACAGTTTTGCCCTTATTATTTTTGTTAGAATTATTTTTTATTTAATTGTTGTTTAGAAAAAACTATTTAATAAAAAAATCCATGTGATCCACCACCAAAACCCACTCCTTTTACGTCCCTCACTCTTGGATGTTTGATCTAGTCCCTCACTCTTCTTCACTATTGGCTGCCTCACTCCTACCTCCTTCTTCCCCACCGCAATTGGCCTCATCCTTTAACATCGAGCTGCATCTCCTTCCTCCCTTTCTACTACCTCTCATTTTCTTGCTTAGATATGAAAGATGAAGCATCAATGAAGGGGTCCCCCATTACCGGACCATCGAACTCCCTTAAATCCCCAGACCAGCGATTGTTCCTAAAGTCACCATTATGAAATCAAAACCCTAGATCGTGGTGTCCGACGACAATGTTGCAGAAAAGATTTGTCCGCTTATTATCGTCAGCTAGTGAAAGACCACCATCACCGTCACTACTTTAGTCCTTATCCACTATCACCATATCCTAAAACCCTTCACGATCATCATCAATTTGGAGAAAGAAAAAGAAAATGAGAGAAGAAAGTAACCAGAGGCGTCTAGGGTTCGGTGGTTGGAGCATTGTTGCATTGGGAGAAAGAAAAGAGAATAAGGTCTGAATGACAGATGGTCCGGTAATGGTGGATTCCGTCGATTAGGTTCATCTGGTTCCAGAGGTGGTTAGGGTTCATCTGGTTCCAGCTTCTCTCTACTCCCTTCATTTGTAACATCCCGAATTTCAGAAGTATGATTTAAGAGTTTAAAGTGTAATTTTGAAGAATGGTCTCGACGAGTAGGTACACTTACTCACCGAGTTGGAGCGGGTTTGGATCGCGAATTAAGTGACCAACTCGCCGAGTTGGAAGCTGGACTTGACGAGTTGGTGCTGGGATGAGAAAAACCTTAATCTTAGGGTTTGCACCCTATTTAAAGGACTTAATGTCCTCCCCTCAGCTCCTTTAGCCCCCTTTGAGATCCAGTAAACCCTCGCTCATGTGTATATGGCCATTAGAGGGAGATTGAAGCTTTGAGAGGTGTTCTAGTGGAAGAAAATTGAAGATCAAAAGGATTTGCATCAAGAAAGTAGTGTAGATCCAAAATCTATTATAGTTTTGGGCACATCTTGGAGGTAATGAGCTATTACATTTCCTTTGTTGCTTCTACATTTATTCTTGAATGAGATTTGGGGTCATTTTGGTATGATTGAGATCTACTTCGGGTTTGGAGTCCAGATCTGAGGTTTCTACTTCAGATCTAGACTTGTATTGGTCCAGAAAGTCATAAAGCATCAGTTATTGAATTGTTGGTGAAGCCCTTTTTGTCTAAAACCCTAGTCCTAGTTTGTTTTGGTCTTATATCTCTTTGGTTTCACGTAAAATTTGCAACTTTATATGAGGGATAGATTGTAGAAGGTTGGATCTATGGATTGGAGCCTCAGTATGGCTCGAAAAGTCTCTGAATGGATTGAGAACTGGAGAGACTCGGCGAGTCACATGGGTGTACTCGATGAGTTGTATGAACACGTGCATGGACTCGGCGAGTCAGGTCGCAGAACCCCAACCTCTTTTGGAACCAGGAAGATTGACTTTGACTGAGGACTTTGACCTTGACGAAGTGTTGACCAGTTTGACTTCCAAGGGTACTTTGGTAATATTGGTATTTATGGAATTAGTTCTTTGGTAGTGTTCAGTGGCGGCGATTGCATCGGAGGTCGGAGCAGCTTGGTCTTATCTTTTCAGTTAGCAATTTCAGGTGAGTTATCCTCACTATATCAATAGGGTCTAAGGCACCAAGGCAGGCCCTTTTAGTTGTTATCTTGGTTACACTATGCTACATGTGGTCATGATCTGTTAGATTGGTATCAAAATAGACAGTATGTTGTTATGCTCATGTGATCCGTTAGGATTAGTATGTTAGTGACCTGGTTAGGTCGATGCCTTGGTCATGAGAGATTGCTATGATCGATGATCTGTGAGATAGTTATATTTGATATTTGTACTTGTACTATTGATGTGCTTATTGATCTGTTAGATCGGCATCCTGGTAATTGGGACAGTATTATGTCAATGACCTGGTTTAGGTTGGTATCCTGGTATATAGGATGATGCTATGTTAGTGACCTGGTTTAGGTCGGTATCCTGGTATATAGGATGATGCTATGTTAGTGACCGGTTGGATCGATATCCTGGTAAGGATGATGCTATGCTTTATGATCTGTTAGATCGATTTGTTTGCCTATGGACTGTTATGTGATTTCCTGTTATATGTACACATGGTTATTTGCTTGATGTTTGGGTTGAGGCGAACCTGCTTTGTGCTGAAGGCCAACATACCCTATGAGCGGTCTGGATAGATTGTAGGCATGTATGGCGTTCGAGTCATACCGAAGGCTCAGATAGATCCAGATAGACTGAAGGCTCGGTGCGGACGGTCCAGTCATACTGTAAACTCAGAAAGTGGACCAGGTGAATTGAAGGCCTGTTGAGGGCGGACCAGTCACGCTGCAGACTTGATAGGCATGGTTGTTCTGTATTGTGATACAATATGTTATGATTATGGTTATATGTGGTTGGTATTTTGGGGGTAACTCACTAAGCTTTCAGGCTTACAATTCAGTGTATTGTTTCAGGTACTTCAGGAGATTATGGCAAGGCGAAGGCGTGACCGTACCGCTCCTCATGTTTTATGATTCATGTGATATGGTTCTGGGGGATACTCTGATGTTTAAACTATTTTGAAAATAAGATGTATGAACTTAATGGTTTTTGAATGAAATAAAATGTTTTAAATTGGCTCGAATTTTTGGTCGTTACATCATTTTCTCATCTCTCATCTACTAACGAAACTAAATGCGGAATTTTTTTTCTGAGATTTTGTTTGGATTTGATGGCATAAGGTTTGCAATCTAGAACATTGAATTCATCGCTTGGGTTGTAATTTGTGTTTCATCAAATTCTATGTGATGTTTTGTGATTTCTATTTCATCAGATTTTATTGTTTTCAATTTAGTTTCTTAAGATATAAATTTTGGTTGTGTTTTTTTTTCACAAAATTGATTAGTAATTATGAGTTTGGTTATGGATCTTGCTAGAAACACCAAGGAGGTAAGCAAGCGGGAAGGCGACGTTTTGGTCGGAGGAAGATGAAACAAAGTTATGGGTTGTTCGTCGAAGAAAACGAAGTTGTAGGTTGTTTACCGGAGAAGAAGGGGATGAGGGGTGGGATGGGTAAAGTAGTAATGGGATGGTGGGACCCATCAGATTTTCATATTTAATTAATACTCTCTTCACATTTAATTAATATACGTTAAAATAATTCATAATTTATATATATATATATATAAAGGAAATCAGTAAGGGAAAATCAGTCTTTTTAGATTATGGACCAAACGTGCAACAAAAATATAAATAAAGGATGGTACGAGTTAAAAGAAATTGTTAGGGACCAAACACACAGATTACGTATGGAACATCCGTGTAATCTACCCATTTGACTAATTTGAAACAAACGTGTAGTTAATCGCACGATAACAACAACCCAAAGTCACCGAACACCTCTAATCCACCAGAGATGTTTACTTTGATGCCATTATAATTCCCTTTTTCTAACAACCTCTCATCTTACTAATTTCAATGGCGTCCGATTCATTTGTTGCTTCTCTGCGAAATCATACCAGCTGCCATGACGTTTTTTTAAGCTTTAGAGGTGAAGATACCCGTAATTCATTTACAGATATACGTAGCTTTAGAGCGAGCAGGAGTTCGCACTTTTAGGGATAATGATAATATCGATAGAGGTCAAGAACTGAAGCCGGAAATCGATAAAGTAATCAAAGAATCCAGGGCTTCTATCGTTGTATTGTCACAGAAGTATGCGAATTCCAGATGGTGCCTTGACAAGCTGTTGTTGATCCTTGAGCAAAGGCTGAGCATTAATCAAATGTTGGGTAATCTTGATGGGTTAAGTTGTTCATGGGTACGGATTCGAATAGGTCGCTCCAGTTTCCTTATCCACAAGTTGAATAATCAGGACAATTGGTCTAATGAAAGACCTGGTTTGGTGGAGCTTCAATAAATGTGGACTTAGTAGTCCTATATTTGTGGTTTTAACTGATAGTTCTCCTTTTCATAGCATGTTTATTATTATAAATAGAGTAGGGTTTATCTTCTAGGGTGTAGGATGTGTATGTATGTATTTTCTGTTTTCATGAATGAGTAATACACAGAAAATTGTCCTATCTTCAGATTGCATGTTCCTTCTTTTACTGTGAGTATTAGTGCATGTTTGATCTTGTGTAGAGAATGTTCCAACAATTGGTATCAGAGCACCTAGGTTCACACCTGGTTCTCAACAAGAAAGAGAGGATGAAATCAAGAAGTTTGGTGATAGGAGGATCAATTGATCTGTAGCAAGAAAGTAAGCAGTAAGCATGAAGAAAAGCTGTACAACAACAAATTAGAAGGAAAGAAAGAAAGAAAGAAAGAAAGAAAGAAAGAAATAATGAAAGAAAGAAAGAAAGCAAGAAAGATAGAAAGATAGAAAAAAAAAAGAAAGAAGAAAGAAGAAAGAAGAAAGAAGAAAGATAGAAAGAAAGAAAGAAAGAAGAAAGAAGAAAGAATGAAAGCAAGCAGCAAGTCTGATCATGTTTGTTAATCAGAGGAAAGATGCATCAGCAGTTTTTTGTTGTTTGTTAGTAGGTAAGAAAGAAGAAGCAGGTAGCAAATGACAAGCAGGAGAGGGCCGGTTGCAAGCAAGATAGCAAGCATGTAGTCTGTAGCACGTAGCAGACAAGAAAGAAAGAAAGCAAGAAAGCAAGCAGTAAGGGTGATCAAAAGAGTGAATGAACGCAACTAAGCAAGTAGCAGGTTGGTTACTCGTGTTGATCAGAAGAAAGTAGCAGGAGTAGAAGGGTGTTGTATGTTAGCAAGAAAGAAAGAAGAAGCATGCAACAGGAGCAAGAACCGACTTTGTTGTGTTGAAGAAACGGGTCAAGAAGCATCAAGATTACGGGGGTGAATGTTGGGTAATCTTGATGGGTTAAGTTGTTCATGGGTACGGATTCGAATGGGTCGCTCTAGTTTCCTTATCCACAAGTTGAATAATTAGGACTTGTTCTAATGAAAGATCGGGTTTGGTGAAGCTTCAATAAACGTGGACTTAGTAGTCCTATCTTTGTGGTTTTAACTGATAGTTCTCCTTTTTCATAGCATGTTTATTGTTATAAATAGAGTTGGATTTATCTTCTAGGGTGTAGGACATGTATGTATGTATATTTTGTTTTCATGAATGAGTAATACACAAAAAATTGTCCTATCTTCAGATTGCATGTTCCTTCTTTTACTGTGAGTATTAGTGCATATTTGATCTTGTGTAGAGAATGTTCCAACAATTCGTATCAGAGCACCCAGGTTCACACCCGGTTCTCAGCAAGAAAGAGAGGATGAAATCAAGAAGTTTGGTGATAGGAGGATCAACTGATTTGTAGCAAGAAAGTAAACAATAAGCATGAAGAAAGGCTGCACAGCAGCAAATTAGAAGGAATGAAAGAAAGAAGGAAAGAAAGAAAGAAGAAAGAAAGAAAGAAAGAAAGAAAGAAGAAAGATAGAAAGAAAAAGGAAAAAAGAAAGAAGAAAGAAGAAAGATAGAAAGAAAGAAAGAAAGAAGAAAGAAGAAAGAATGAAAGCAAGCAACAAGTTCGATCATGTTTGTTAATCAGAGGAAAGATGCATCAGCAGTTTTTTGTTGTTTGTTAGTAGGTAAGAAAGAAGAAGCAGGTAGCAAATGACAAGCAGGAGAGGGCCGGTTGCAAGCAAGATAGCAAGCATGTAGTCTGTAGCACGTAGCAGACAAGAAAGAAAGAAAGCAAGAAAGCAAGCAGTAAGGGTGATCAAAAGAATGAATGAACGCAACTAAGCAAGTAGCAGGTTGGTTACTCATGTTGATCAGAAGAAAGTAGCAGGAGTAGAAGGGTGTTGTATGTTATCAAGAAAGAAAGAAGAAGCATGCAACAAGAGCAAGAACCAACTTTGTTGTGTTGAAAAAATGGGTCAAGAAGCATCAAGATTATGGGGGTGAATGTTGGGTAATCTTGATGGGTTAAGTTGTTCATGGGTACGGATTCGAATGGGTCGCTCCAATTTCCTTATCCACAAGTTGAATAATCAGGAGTTGTTCTAATGAAAGACCTGGTTTGGTGGAGCTTGAATAAACGTGGACTTAGTAGTCCTATCTTTGTGGTTTTAACTGATATTTCTCCTTTTTCATAGCATGTTTATTATTATAAATAGAGTAGGGTTTATCTTCTAGGGTGTAGGACGTGTATGTATGTATTTTCTATTTTTATGAATGAGTAATAAACAATAAATTGTCCTATCTTCAGATTGCATGTTCCTTCTTTTACTGTGAGTATTAGTGCATGTTTGATTTTTTGTAGAGAATGTTCCAACAATTTTGTTTTACCTGCGTTCTACCATGTCGATCCCTCAGATGTCAGGAACCAAAGACAAAGTTTTGCCATTAATGTAGGCAAAAGAGCAGAAGGGTCAATATGGACCGAGTTTAATGTCAATCGATGGAAGACAGCTCTTACGGAGGTTGCTAATTTGACTGGCATGGTTGTTTCCGGGTATGCTTTCTCTATTCAAGATTACTGTTAAATCCTTTGGAAACTCTTTTTGATTAATTCACTGAGATTGTTAAAATATGATAAGGAGTCGTAATATGTGCCTAGGAAATGATAGAATTCAGGTATGCTTCTTAAAAACATCAGGTCATGGAATTTTCTTTTGCTCATATTGTGCTTTGAAATTATGCAAAGTGCAGAACCAGCTGATGATGAGAGGCTTACTGTGTCTATTTACTATAGAACTCTAACTCTCTAAGGGGTGGGTTTAGTTTTGCAAAAATACTTCGTTTTCTTTATCCCTTGTCTCTATACGTAATTAAATTTTCTACATAATGAAGATTGCAAGTTTACTTGATCGGATAAATAGATTTTCGGTTATGTATTAGACATTATGTTGTTCTCCTCCTTACATATGAATGGTTTACAACAAATGTACAATATACACATATTCACGTATTACGGATGTATATATATGATGTGAAATAGTGAGTGAGAAGTGAAGCTAAAATTAAAACAGACAACATAACAAGTCTTGGGGTTTGGCTTTGGCCCTACATGTATTGGTTGTTTCTAGTTGGCCTTGTCATTATTGAAAACTTAATTCAATCGGATTGCATATATCCGTACACCTCAGTTAACATATTTAGCGGGTTGATAATGGTTGCAGGGAGAATATTAAATTTGCTGGAGCATTTGAATTCCATCCACTATAACTGAAGAAAGCTAAAGTGTTTATGAAGATTAAATGCCATGCTCTGAATGTGTTTCTTTTCTTTTTCTATTATTGCAGGTCTGAAACAAATTTTATCTCAGAGATTGTTTGTACAATCAAGTCTGAACTAGATTTGAAACTAGTTAGTACTCCCTGCTCTTCTAGTTGGAATGGGCACTCGAGCTAAATCTATAAACTCATGGTTGGAAAATGAGCAATCTGGTGATAACATTCTAGCAATCTTTGGCATGGGAGGTAGTGCCAAGACGAATCTGGACAAATTCATTTACAACTCGAAGAAACAAAAATTTGGAAGCAGCAGTTACCTTGAAGAGATTGGAAAGCACTCTAAACAGTCTGATGTTTGCTTGGACTACTAAAACAACTTCTCAAAGACATTTTAGGGGAAAAGAGGGCAAGAATATCAAGTGTTTCTGAGGGTACAAGGAAGGTTGAGGAAGCCTTACAAGTGAAAAGGGTTCTTATTGTTATTGATGACATTGATGATCATGACCAATTAGATGCTCTACTTGGAACATGGGTTTCTCATACCCAAAGCAAGATCATAATAACAACTAGGCTTTTAGATATACGTGCATGGTTCAGGTCCATATCTTGGGAGTGTGAGGTGCAAAAATCTGAATTGTTGAATGATGAGGAATCATTACAGCTTCTGATTTGGGATGCATTTGGATCCAAAATTCGTATGGAAGGTTTCAAGGATCTCGGCATACAGGTAGCACAATATTGTGGTGGAAATCCACTAGCTCTTAAAGTATTAGGTTCTTCTCTGTTTTTTGATGCTGAAGAGTCAAGGTCAAAAAATAGCATGACAGAGGTTTGGAGAAGTACATTGAATTCACTGAATTCATTGAAAGGAGATCTTGATTGTAAAATCCAAGATATACTACAAAAGAGCTTTGACTCATTACCTTATGCTAGTAACAAAGAGTTGTTTCTGCATATTGCTTTCTTCTTTGTTGGTGAATATGAGGGTTATGTGGTAAAGATTATGGAGAATGACTGGCATGCAAAAGCTAGGATCAGGACCCTCATTAATAGATGCCTTCTTACTGTCTCACCAAGTAAAAAACTAATGATGCATCAATTGCTTCAAGAGATGGCAAGAAACATAGTCCTTCAAGAGTCCAAAGATCCTGCAGCACGTAGTAGAGTCTTGCAAAATGATGAATCTTATCGTTTGTTGACAAAAGGAGAGGTACTAACTACTAAGATGCTTCTTAATTATGTGTATCTTTAAACTTTCTTTCCCGTTCACATGAACCTCCTATGTTAACTTGCCTTCTCTTATTTTATATCTTTCCCCATTAGGGTTCAAAAACAATTGAAGGTCTATCACTTGACATGCAAAAGCTCAAAGAAGGGATGATGTCAAATGTAAGCCAAAGATGTGAATAAGTGTGGTACTTGTATTTAAGTGCATGTTATATCATACATGAGGTACATGTACTAGTTATTAATTTAATACTAAATTTACACCATTAACCCTTGATACAACTTCAATTACAAAAATGGACAAACTGAAATTGCTCAAGCTAGAATATGTGAAACTCAAGGGGTCTTACAAGAATTTTCCAGAATTAAGATGGTTTTATTGGAGTTATTGTCAATTAAAATAAATACCATCCGACTTATTGAGTAGCAACTTGGTGGCTATAGATATGAGCTATGGATAGTCGGAGAACTTTGAACCGCCCATGGTAGGAATTTGATGTCTTGTTTGTCACTTCATCTTTTTGGTTGCGTTTGGTTTTGCAAAAGTGTTCTCAATTTTCTTGGAAATTTTAAAAAAAGTAGTAGAAATTTCATTTTCAGTTTTTATTGGAAAAATTATAAAACGTGTTTGGTTAAAACTGTTGAGTTTTCATTTTCCGTTTTAGAAAATTAGAAATCGTGTTTGGTTGTGTTTTTTCTATTAGTTTTCGATTTCCACGTTTTGCTATTTTAAATTGTTTTTGAAATTCTTTTTAAGTTATTTTAAATAGGGTTAGGGGTGGGTTGGGTGTGTGGGGCAAGTAAGGTTAGGGTGAGGTGGGGTAGGTAGCATGGATAGGGTGGGGTGGGTTGGGCGTGCTGGTATAGGGTGGGTATGGCGGTAGGTACAAGTAAGTGTGGGTGGGGGTGGTTGTGGGGTAGGTAGGCGGGGTGGGCTGGGTGAGTAGGGCATGTGGGGATGGGGTGGATGTGGATGCAATGTATGGAGTGTGGGTCGGGTTGGGTGTTTGTGTGTATTTTATATTTTAGAAAACTTGTTTTAAATGGAAAAGTGTGGAAAACAATGATTATCAGCTTTCCAAGTTCTCTGTAATTTTGGAAAACTAAAAATTTTCTTTTCGTGGAAAAATTTTAGAAAAATTATCAAAGTAAACACTTTTTTAAAAGTTTCACTTTTCTGGAAAAGTAGAGAATTTTTTACAACCAAAGCACTATCGTAGCTTCCCAACTTTCTTACGGTTTATGTGTTAACGTACGATGAAACAATCTTTGTATTCTTGGAATAGGTTCTTAATTCAATGAAGATCCTAAATCTTAAAGGGTCGTTCGATCTTGTCAGTATCCACCATCTTTCCAGACTTCCTAATCTTGAGACTTTGATTCTCTCGCACTGTATCAATCTCAGTTTGACTCATGTTTGTGAAATCATCGGAGGTCTTAAGAAGCTTTCTCTATTGGACTTTGGATGGTGTAATCATCTTGGGAAGGTTGCATCAAATAAGTATGAAGATCAACCGTTGGTCCCCTATCCAGACTCGTTAAAGATTCTGTTTCTTAATGACTGGAACATTGATGGAATAGATGATGATCCATTGTTTTTAATTGAAGAGCTGCCCTTCTTTTACAATCACATGAATTTGGTTAGTAATTCGTTAATGCTCCTGACCAATTACACTTATTATGAAATGCTTCGGGTATTCGATGTGAGTGGTTGTCGAAATATAAAGTCCCTCCTATGTCTCCCAAGTCCGCTAGAAGAGTTGGATACATCTTGCTGTTTTGAACTGGAGAAAATAACATTCGAATAAGCTCGGTTCAGACTGCGGAAATTTGAATATCAAGGTTGTGACAACTTATGTGAAATTCAAGGCTATTTCAAATTGGTGCCATTAGCAAAGCTTGATGAAGTAGATTTGGGACATTTGAAATGGATCAAAACATATCAGAATACTAAGGTGAACCTCACAGGTGATGTCTTTAGAAACTTTTGGTAGACACAGGTACCTCTCTCTCTCTCTCTCTCCCTCCCTCTCTCCCTCCCTCGCTCCCTCCCTCCCTCCCTCCCTCTCTCTGAATAAGCACTCCCTCCCTCCCTCCCTCCCTCTCTCTGAATAAGCACAAAAAAGAACACATCTTTGTACTACCAGGAAACTGATTAATATATGCATAATTTGATATTTCTGCAATTTGTTTGAGCAGGTGCTGTATGAATATGGTATAATGAGCACATACCTTCAAGGCATAAAGGCTCAAAGCTTGCCAACGTCTGAGTATAAGTCATCGTCCGCGTTCTTATCCTTTCGTGTGCCTTCTTGTCCCGAGAAATGCAGGATCCGAGGATTAAACATAACCACCTCATACAGAATATCAGCCAGAACACACAGGGATGAGCATACAAGGGCTTTGTTCACGAAAGTCAGCAATACAAGCAAGGGCCTTACTTGAATGTATAACCCTGCCATCTATGACATTTCGGGAATTGAAGAAGATGTAATGTGGTTAAGCTATTGGCCCATTGGGAACATATAAGATGCCGGTGATGACATCAATGTGTCCATCATTGTGGGGGATGGATTTATGGTAAGCAGGTGTGGTGTCAGCCTTGATTTCATAGATGATGGTGAAGAAGAGCTAAAATACAACAAAAATTACAAGAAAGAGGAAGAAGTAATTGGAGGAGATCTATCTGAATTTGAGCTGACTACAGGAGCCTACTATCTTTGTCGTCGCGATTACTTCAAGTCAACCACTCCTGATTGGTTAAATATATTATTTGGTGATACCATTTCACATAAAGGTAAGTTCCTCTTTGAGCTGATGCTTTCATCAAGATTAAGCAGCAAATACTGATGCATTCTTATATCACACTATCATAGACTTAGAAGGATGGAGAAAATCTCTTCAGAGATATATGGAGCGGTTTTCTTTCAGAGACAACCCTTATTCCGATTAGTTATAAGTATGAACATTTAATCATTCTTTTTGGCGTAAAATACCAATATTTGTTTGTAAATTTAAATAAATTTAATGCTTAAATCCCTTAACCCAACCTAACCTAATCCGAATGAATATATGCTTTGTTTGTTATTAGAATAAATTACATGTGGAGCATTCCTTAATGTGTAACTGCCCGCCATCAGCTTGTTTTTTTTTCTTCATAATTCCTCATCCTTTAATCTTAGTTGTTGTCCAGCCTTTCCTCATCTATGATCAGAGTGAATGGTAGACACTATTTTTATGGGGAAATTGACATTTAGATATTTTTTTACACGATTGACCATTAAACTTGTTAAAAGTGTTCACATGTTATCATTTAACAAGTTTAACGGTCAATTGTGTATAAAAAAAGTTGCCTAGACGTGAACAAAACAAAAAGGTAATTACCATCTAAATTATTATTTTTTTCCAATTTATCTAATGTTTAATATGGATTTTATTTTTCATATTTTTTGTATTATTTTAAAAGCATCAATAAATATTGATCGTTCATCCTATTTTATAGCCTTTTGATCTGACAAAGCAGTTTTCTACTAACTTGTTTTTAGCAAAAACTTACTATTATAAATATTAATTAATCATGGATCGATTCTAAAAGTTTCTTAGGAGCCTTAGGCAAAGCATATAAGCTATCTTGTTTTATTTTATAATCATTTTTCTAAAAGTAGTCGTAGATAACTTTTTAAAAAACCATATTTCTAAAAGTGGTGTTGGTAACTTTTTAAACTTTTACATTCAATCTTTGTTTTGATGTTAGACTAGATGTTACGATGAGAAATGAATAGAAACATGGATAGAAAAATATGGGAATATAGAAAAAAAAAAAAAAAAAAAAAAGAGAAAATAAGGATAATGAATAGAAACAAGGAATGAAGGAGGAAGAAGGGTTGACGAAGGGTTGACAAAACATTAAGCCAATGTCCAAGGATGAACGAAATCTCTACGGTCCTATTTATAATCTTGGATCCCTTCCTAAGTTTTGTACTACTTCCCATGTGGGATTGGAGCATAACCACGAAATTTAACTCATTTCTCATGTGGGATGGAGTGATTTCATCAAACTCTAATTTCATAAGGGTTTTCGAACATTCCTGATTAACCAACTATTGATTAATAAATATTCAATCCTTTGATTAATTAAACTGTTAATTAATTCCTAAAATATATTTCCATTTAGTTTCTAATTAATTATTAACCATAATAAATAATAAATCAATTTTTCCTTTATTTATTCCACTTAATTTGGGTCTTGAGGACAACCCAAAAGGATCCTATTATTATTAGAAATATTACAAATAGTTAATGAACTTTGTTACTATTCCAACAGGAACTCCCCCTCTCCATTCTTATCATTCTCTCTTTCTTTCATGTTTGAAAAACTATGATCTTAGATTGTTGGGCAAACGCCACATATACATGCATAAAAGCACACACATACACCTCACAAAAAACGAACTTGAAAAAATATATGATTTCATGACATTGTGATTTGCTATGGATTTTAGTTTGCACACTTAGGAGTGTAGTAATCGACTTTTATTGTGCTTCCATGATGACAAACACACCCACTTGCAACTCCCTTCTCCCATCCTTTCTTTCTCTGAACCTTTCATTCTTTCTTTCACTCCTTGTTGTGCCATCCTCACTACAAGAAATTTGAGCATTAGCGGCGACGCACACCTTTAGCGACGACAAACATTTTTCGCGTTACTTGTCACCATGAAAGGTGTGTGTCACCGCTAATGCTCACACGTCATTGATCCGTATCAATAGCTAAGATGAAATCATAGTCGGTGATTTAGTCCTAATCCAATGACAAGAAATCCACATTGTCTCAAACCTTTAGCGGCGATGTTCTTACTAGCGACATCATCTCTGCAGGTACCTGAAAAAAATATCGCCAAAGATTCCCTCCAATGTTGTCGCCGCTATTACACCTCCCGTCGCCGCAATTGCTTGTCGTCGCCGCTTATGCTCGTCACCGATAATACTCTTACTTTTTTCCTAGTTATGTCTTGCGTTCCATTTTCCTTTCCAACTCAAATTGATGCGATTGCGATGATATTTAACATATTTTGAAGCTTCCATCGGCATCCAAGACACCGACGACCCAAACATCATCACTGACGACTTACCTTATCACTGGTGACGTTCTACAATGACGATTCCACCCCATTTCCGATGACAAGTAGTTGCAGTGAGTTTTTTCATTTTTTTTTTCTCTTTGCTTTTCGATTTCTCCTCTCCCCCATTGAATGTGCATGTTTTTTTTTAAGTAATTTTGACATCTTGGAGTTTGCTTCCTAGAATTTGAAGATCCCACCGCCACCACCACTTTGTCGCCGGAAATTGCTATCACAACCACCACTAAAAAGGTATATATATATATATATATATATATATATATATATATATATATATATATATACCTTTTTAATGGTGGTATATTCTTATTCTAATCTACCACTTCTAATAAAAGAGTCTAAATTTGTCCATGAGTCATTTTCTTATAGTTTTTAGTTTTTTTCTAATATTCTATAAAAATGACACATCTGATTTTATATGATTTTCTTTTTATATTCAAAAACAAAATATGATTTTTAGAATGCATGTAATCTCGAGTTAACAAATAAATAAAATTTGAATTACCAACTAGATCAAAATCTTAATCCCAGATTAATTGGATTGATTGTAATCCATAAAAAATAGTCATTTGATATTTATTTACATGATTGTAATCCCTTAATTTTGATTTCAGAGCTACGATGATGATCTACACCTTCTCTTTAATCTCCTCTCAAGTTTGTGACTGGGATGCCAAGGATCACAAACAAGGTGTGAATAACCATGCAAATATACTTGGTACCCTTAATATTTATCACTTAATCGATGTGCCAGTTAACCACACGCGCTCCACCGATTCTATGCAAATATACTTGGTACCCTTAATATTCACATTTTTCTAAAGTAACTAAGATTGGGAATTTATAAAAAGTTTAGTTACTTTATATTTATCATTATACTTATAATGAAGGGAGAATTATAGTCCTTGTCCTATCCGTTCGGCTAACGACCCTCCACCAGTTAAGGAAGCGGTGGGTGAGAGTGGACACCCATTAAACTGCTATTTTATAGACAGTAACCTTATACCTCCTTATAGACCTGCTTTACTAACGGTAAGACTGACTTTGTTCTTACACACACACACACACACACACACACACACACACATATATATATATATATATATATATATGTGTGTGTGATAAATTTTTATGAGAACACCTAAAAGGTTGAGAACGCGAGAACAGGTATATTCATTTGTGATTCCATGTATTCATTTGTGGAAAAATGATAAATTTTTATGTATAATCAACATGAATATGTTTTTCCTCTTCAATTGAAATTAAAGGGGTAAAATTTATCACTTCTCCACAAATTAATACATGGAATCACAAATAAATATACTTTGTTCTCGCGTTCTCAACCTTTTTGGTGTTCTCATTTGATCCTACTCCTATATATATATATATATATATATATATATATATATATATATATATATATATATATATATATATATATATATATATATATATATATATAACTATTAACTATTAACTATTAATATTATAATAGTATAAGGGTTGAATTTTAACTTTTAAAATTCTATAAGTTTGGAATTAATGTGTGTATGAGACTTTACAAATTCAAAAACTTGAGAGAAAGTTTTGAACAATTCAAAAACTTTTGGATTTTCATAATTTATGAGTTTAATTAAGGTTTTAAAAACTTTAATGAAGAGACTCTTGAACATCCATAACTTGAGGACAAGTTATGGAGTCCATAAAACTATTTATGAGAAAGACTATTCAATTATGTAACCTATGAGTTTTTAATAGATCTTTAAAAGAAACGACTTTTAGTAATCCATGACTTGAGGAAAAATTATGGACTCCATTAAAAAACATTTAGATCAAGAATTAACTAACAAACAATTTGCAAATAATTACTATATTCTACTAAAACTCATAAGTGTATGAACAATCATATCAACAATTTCAATAATCATATAAACACATATAAAACTTGAAATTTTGATAATAACCTTGAAATTGGTTTACCATAATCATTACTACATCAAAAACAGGTTTTATAAGTCGAAAACAGTTTAAGATAATGATTCTAGAGAAATTCCAGCACCAAAACTCGCAAACCTGCACCCAGGCCTGCTAACTCGTCAAGTGCATGAACTGACTTGGCGAGTTGGTTGAATATATTCATGGACTCGTCGAGTTCCATGAGGGACTCGGCGAGTCAGCTGGGAAGTGTGCAGAAATTCGATATTTTTCAGCAATTTGCATCAAGTATAAAGAAAACAAGCCTAGTCTCTGATACCACTGATGGGTTTTGAGCATTCTAACACTCATATGGTGTACATGCAACCCTATAAATCTTGGATCTATTTTTTTCTCTATTATACATGCAAATATTCAATATTCCAAGGTTTCATCCTAACTAGCATAATATGAAGCAACTATACTACAAAAGCCTAGATAGATAACATACCTTTTGATGGAGCTTGAAGTCTTGAACTTTAAGGGCTTAGCCCCAATAGTGTGTAAGCCTCAAATGGAATCACAAATCACTAAAAACACCTTGGAAAACTTAAGAGAATAGTAAGCACACTAGAAATTATCCCACTCTTGTTTACTCACACACTAGTTCCATTTCATGTGCCAAGGACCCCTTCATGTAAACCCTAATACTCATGATCTTTCATTTCCATAAGATCCATGGGTTAAAGCACCATGGACTATCTATGGACTTTCCATGCAAGCGTAGCCCATTCT